ACCCTGGCTACTCATACTCCTTAGCATCTCTATAGGTTCCTTTAGGGGATACTTTCTTCCTTTAGGGGACACTTTCTGCACATATGCCAGGCCATGTACTGTCATGTGACTTCCAACACTGGCTTGAAACGTAGTTTCCTTTTCCTTCTCTTTTTCTTTTTCTTTTTTGTCAGCTGATTGCACAATTAGGAACTTTTTTTAAAAAAAGATTTATTTATTATGTATACAGTGCTCTACCTGCATGTATCCCTGCAGGCCAGAAGAGGGCTCCAGATCTCATTAGGGATGGTTGTGAACCACCATGTAGATGCTGGGAATTGAATTCAGGACCTCTGGAAGAGCAGCCAGTGCTCTTAACCTCTGAGCCATCTCTCCAGCCCCTGTAGTTTCCTTTTCTGTCACATCTCTCAGATGGGGTATTAGAAGCCCAGGTGCACATGGTTGGCCTTTACCCCAGCCTCTAGAGTAGGCTGTTTGAAAAAGAGGGATGGAGGAAGGACTAAAAAGACTCTGGGACTGGGGGAAAAAAGCATGCCCCTCTCCCCCAGGACCTGCAAGATGCCAGACTCTAGGGAACCTCTCTGCTAGTCTGGTCCCAACTACCCAGGTGGCTGCAGCATCCCAAGTTCTCTGGGTCAGGTTAGTGGTGTCCCCACTCTGCAGGTCCAGGAAATGTACCCTGGGTGCATGAATCAGTCGATGGATAGCTAGGGTCTGTCCAAAACCAAATTCATTCCTGCCCAACCTCAGTCTTGCTCTCTCAGTTCCTTATAGCTGTGACGCACTCCTCATAACCCCCAGTCCATGGAGTCCTCCCAGCAAACCAGGTTCGTTGCCTCCCCTCTATGCAACAGCAGCCAACAGAGTCCCTGTCTCTCATGTGGGCCTCCTGCTATCCACACTCACTACTGCCCCACCTACAGGCTTCTAGGGTTTGCTCTGCAAACTCACAAACTTCCACACTAGGGTTTCAGGCTTTATTTTATTTTTCCTGTTCTATTTTGTGAGATAATCTCACGTAGCCCAGGCTGGCCTCAAAACTATGTAGCCGCCAGGCATTGGTGGTACAAGCCTTTAATCCCAGCACTTGGGAGGCAGAGGCAGGCGGATCTCTGTGAGTTTGAGGCCAGCCTGGTCTACAGAGCGAGTTCCAGGACAGGCTCTCAAACTACAGAGAAACCCTGTCTCAAAAACCAAACAAACAAACAAAAAAACCCAAAAAACTATGTAGCCAAGGATGACCTTGAGTTTCTGATTTACCAACTGAATTAACTACATTCTCAGCCCCAGCTCCAGCTATGCACTGAGAGCCATAGGAAGAGCTGTTTCCACACTTTGCATGATGGTCCTCGGGGACTGGCAGGATGGCTCACTGGGTGGAGGTACTTGCCACAAGCCTGACAACTTTAGTTGGATCCCACAGTAGAAGGACAGAGCTGACTTGTGCAAGTTGTCCTTCGACCTCCACATTCTTGCAATGGTACACACACACACACACACACACACACACACACACACACACACGCACGCACGCGCGCGCACACACACACACTGAAAGAAAAAAAACTGTAATGCTGCTCCTCTGTTCCCTCCCTCTCATCTCTCTTCTTGCCTCCCCAGCTCTATCTGAAATGAGAAGGAGAATGCTGGGCATCTGCATTCATAACCCAACAATGACTTGTGCATGGCCCTCCACTGTCCTCACTGTGCAAGCTCCGTAGGTGAGTTGCTGCCTCTGTCCACCTGGCTCTGGGGGAGACCAGATGCACTAACTCTGAGTCTTGATCAGGCCCACTTCTCTCTGTGACCGACTGTTTGCTTCTTTGTCCTCTCCTGAGCTCCCTATTTGCCACCGATCACACCTTCTCCGGTCACCTTCCCCTCTCCTCCTCCATTCCCACCCTTTATTGGGAACCTGTCTTGGCCCTCTTCTGCCTTCACCCACACTCTGTATGCCGTCTCCACTCAGCTTTGAAGTGTCCATCTCCAGCCCTGTGCACCAGCAGTCTTTTGTTTGTTTTGTTTTTCAAGATTGGATTTCACTGTGTAGCCCTGGATGTCCTAGAACTTACTCTGTAGACCAGGGTGGTCTTGAACTCACAGAGATCCGCCTGCCTCTGCCTCCTGAGTGCTGGGATTAAAGGCGTGCGCCACCACTGCCTGGCTGGCACCTGAAGTCTTTTAGATCTATCAACTCCTCTTGAGCTGTCCCCATATGGACACTTCATAGTATCTAAAATATCTTGTACTGACCCTGCATTCTCTAAACCTTTTTCTCCTATGTCCCCATGTCCCAATACATATTACCAGCTCCCACCAAACTGTTGCTCATGTCACAAACTCAACTTCCTGCAGTCTGTCTCCATGCATAAAATGATGATATGTGGTAACATAGGTGGCACACACTAAAGACTCACTAAATATTAACGAGCAATGTAAATCATCAGAAAAGCCTGTGAGACTGGGGACATAGGCTAGTGGCATAACACAAGCCTAGCATGTGCAAGGTCCTGGGCTCAATGCAAGTACCATGAAGAGGAAGTAGAAGAGCCCATGGGGGGGACTCAGTGAATCTTCTCACCTACTTCCATTACCCTGGTCCAGAGCACAGTACCTTTCACCTGGACATCTTTGACCCATTTTGGCCCATCTTCTGTCATTCTTGTCCCTCTTCATTGCATGGTCCACCCTGGAAGCCCTGTGCCTTTTATACAATTCTTTTCTTGGGGCTGCAAAGATGGCTCAGCAGTTAAGAGCACTGGCTGCTTTCCCCAGAGGACCTGGGTTCAATCCCCAGCAACCACATGGCAGCTCACAACTGTCTGTAACGCCAGTTCCAGGGGATCTGACACCCTCACACAGACAGACATGCAGGCAAAACACCAATGCACATTTTTTTTAAAGATCCTTTTCTTTTCTTTTAAAAACATGCATGTCTGTATGTATGCTACACACATGTAGATGCTGTAGATGCCTTGGAGGCCAAAAGAGGGTGCCAGATTCCTGGAACTTGTGTTACTGGCAATTGTAAGCTGCCTAATTCTGGAAATCAAACCCCTGTCTTCTGCAAGACTAGCAAGTGCTCTTAACCACTGAGCTATCTCCCCAGCCCCTATCCAGTGCGTTTTCTAAAATACACATGGTCATTTCACTTCCGTGCTGTTTAAATCCTTTCCTGCCTTTCCAATGGTGTAGGGTACAAATGATCTCCCTTGACATAAAGACCATAAGTGACCTGGCCACTGATCACCTTTCTGAACTCATCCATCATCACATTTAAACAACACACACACACACATACACACACACACACACACACACACACACACACACACACAGGCATGCACACACCACCTCTTAAGAAATAAAATTGCCAGCTGTGGTAACTCACACCTGGATTTCAAGCACTTAGGTCTTAAGGTCTTAGGTCTTAAACTTGCCCTCAACTATATGTATAGTGAGTTGGATGGCATTTGGGGCTAATGAAGCTCTGTCAAAAACAAACAAACAAAAACCAAACAAATGAAAAAGCAAATTAAACTTCATCAGTGATGGTAGAATATACCTGTAATCCTGGCACTTAGATGCTCAAGGCAGGAGGGTCATAAGTTTGAGACCAAGCTGGGCCTCATACTGAGACCTTGTCTCATAATAACTAACTAGATAAACAAACAAACAAATAGACCCTAAAACAAAACAAGAAATCTATCAAATGTGGTACATCTGTAATCTCAGCACTTGCAAGGTGAAGGCAGGACTGCCATGAGTTTGAGAGCAGCCTGGGTATATGGCAAGTTTGAGGCAGCCCTGGTCTATATCTCCTCCTCCTCCTCCTCCTCCTCCTCCTCCTCCTCCTCCTCCTCCTCCTCTT